CTCTGGTGGAGAGTGGAATCTTGCGCGGCAAAGACTGCCGAGCGCGGTCACTGTAGCGACCTGCCGGGCCGCAATAGACGGCCTGCCTACCAAAGCCCCCGCAAGGCAAAGGACCTCTTCTTTGCTGCGAAAGGAAAGGAAAAGTGAGTTTTTGAGATTCTGGTCGAAGTTTTCGAGTGCCTTTACTGCGAAAACTAGCACAAGCATGCATTGAAGTCTTATGTCACGACTGTGTGCTGCTGACAAACACGTTTTCGAATGCATGACATTGACATTCAGATTGGGACGAAGGACGCATGTTCTTTCAGACATGTGGCTCTGAGTTGTCACATGTCAGCGCGGCAACGGAGTACCACCTCCTTTGCAATCGTTGCTGTGTTAATGCAGCTTTGAATTACAGCCTTCCTTTGGAGCGCCACTGGGCCCCAAGATTGCAGAACAGTCTTGCGGACGTGCTCACAATTCAGGGTTTTGAGAACTTTGATCCGAAGCTCCGTATGCGCTGCTCTTTCGTGACTACGAGGGTGGGGTCTTGACGGAAATGCTCGAAGTAGGAACATAGCTCTACACGGACATCGCAGAGTGGCGTGCTCGCAAGCGTAAGTCACACGGCGAAGTGGAGTTGGAAAAGCGTGCCAAGGCATCGAAGCTGTCGACCAGAGAGCCATGGAAGTAGCATTCCGTCATTAAAGGGGGGCGGGCATTGGGATTGCGAAATGCAACTTCTTGTATGCAGTGCGTGTGTGTGTGAGACACATCGCGGTTTTCCCTCCATTTCACACAACCTTTAACCGACGAGCTTCGCCTGCGAAAACATCTGGTCGAGTAGCCGTTGCCACGCTTGATTTCCATGATTTCCATACGATGATTTCGGAATTCTATAAACTCGACTCCTGCTTGCATGAAATATTCTGGGTGTCGCCAAACAGGTATTCGGGTATATGGGTGCGTGTCGAATGCAGACCTGAATTGTTCAGACAGACGCAATCTCCTGACTGAACGATATGTATGGCTCTTCATGTTGGTGTCAGTTTTGATGCGAAACAACTCGGATGGATGATGGACAGATGGATGGATGGAGGACAGATGGATGGATGGATGGATGATGGATGGATGATGGATGGATGGATGGATGGATGGATGGATGGATGGATGGATGGATGGATGGATGGACGGCTAGATGGACGTATAGGTAGATAGATAGATACATATACATACGTGCGTGCATATGTACATACATACATACTTACTTGCTTACATACTTGCATGCATGAATGCATACATACATAGTTACATACTTACGTATTGACATACTTGCATGCTTACATATCTACAGACCTACATGCATGCATACATACGTAGCTACTTGCTTACACACAGACGTGCGTATGTCTTATGGGAGGCCGTACGACCAACAGAGTTTTGTTGCTGCTAATGGTGCTTCACCGGCCTGCAGAAGGTCGTTCTTCCCTGGCTGGCCGCACGTGTGCAGGAGCTGCTCAATTCCCAGCCTGTGACGGCACAGTGCAATGAAAACTCCAGGACGTTTGGCAGCGCCTTGATGTCCCTGAGGTGGGGTGTTTGCTGTTTGGGCTCCACAGGGTCCCTGCAAAGCTGTCCCACCAGCAGAACCGACTCCGCATCATTCCAATCACGGAATAGAAATGACTTATAGAATTTCAAAAGCAGGCGTGTTTGAAAGGAGATCAGTGATCGAGAATGTTGAAGATCTCCAGCGAAAAGACTTTGCCGTGGCAGGATTCTCCCCTGCAGTGGTTCTGGAAAGGGCGCGGCACTAATTTCCGCCATTGTTTCGCATGTGAGTCAATTGGCTTCGGTAGTGTCCGAGGTTTCGACGGCTTCTTCCACGAGTAACTGCTGTACACTCCATCCTAGTAGTTTGGAATTTTTTGCTGTTCCTCAGGCGGGACTTGTCAGCAGGTTTGCCATCGCAGCCAAGCAAGTGTTGGTAGCCTCACAACGTTGTCTACAGGTACGGTGAGTGCAGTGAGCTGCGCGACAGACTTCTTGGCATTCGGATGGTGCGTGGCACGGATTTGTCCTTGCCGTCCTGCCGTCGGTGGCAAGCCCGCTCCAGGTACATATCGATCCCATAGCGCGTCGGCAGGCGATGCAGCTTGGAGAGTGCTGTCCAGGAATTACCGGGTTGACCAGGTCGCCTTCGAGTACATGAACCGTGTCATGATTTGGATCAGATCTCAGCTCTCAGCTCTAAGTCGGGGTAAGGCAGAGAGTGCCTGAGAGCATCCATGTCCTCACTTCTTCGGAGGAACGGTCTTTCCGAGTTTCTTCTGACGGTCTGGCACCTAGTTCTAGGAGAGGTGCATCGACGACAGTATCGTGCACATTTGGTAGAGCACACCTGGACCCGAGAAAACTGTTTCATTGTCTTCCCTAGACCGCAGGCAGGAGCAGATTGGAGCAGTTCAGTCGTTAAATCCACACGACTGAGATGCAGGTCATGCCGCTGGTGAATGTGTCGCGGCTGCGGCGATCCATCACAAGGCCAAATGGATCTCGATGGCTTGTGGTGATTCGGGGAGTTGCCCGGCAACACAGCGTTGAGAAGAGCGGGAGAGCGCGAACAAGACGTGGCCCGCAAGCATTGCCGTGCAGTCTTGCCCCAGGCGGCTCCTGCCAAAGGCTCGCCGACGGCAGCTGATGCTCATCAGCCCTTGCTTTGGAGTAGCACAGGCGTCGACTCATGCGGATGCAGCAAGGGCCGAACTGTGTTGTGGATTCTGCACCGATCTCAGCGGGGCACACTTGCTCGAAGCGGAGGGCAATGCTGATTGAGGGCAGGTTGGACTCCTGACTCCGGACCTACTCCCGTGTCTGGCGCGCAGCTTTCATGCTGCTCGTTCGTTGGCTTGTCACACGAGGTGGAGCATCACCGATGACGGTGCCAACGCGGACAAACTGCAACCATGCCCCTTGCTTTATTGCCGGGGAGTTTGCTTGGTCGACAGGGGTGTTGCCACAGGAGCAAGAGCATACAGTTGCATGGCATACAGCTAGACATCATCTTCGGCGAGCTTGAGAGGCAAGTCCTTCAGAAGGTCCGTCGAGATTTGCTGACAGGTGTTCTGCTACTACTGCGTTGCGAGCGAGCTCATGGAGCAACCAAAGGCCGGCTGTAACTATCGAGCTGGAGATGTCGGCAGGGTAGTGTCTGTGTCTTCCGATGTGTTGATGTCCACTTTTCGGAGGCTTTGGCATGCCCGCATTGCGGGGAACAGATCGAGAAGTTGAGGCGACATGCTGTAAGTTTGTCGAGTCGCGTCACGTCGCGGCCGGTGTGAGCGCCTAGCCGCCAGCCCGGTGAACTGTTGGCAGGTCTAGTTGTGCGAAGTGATGTAGCTATGTCGTGTGCATCCGACTGCAGGCATGCACGCTGAGACGCAGCCATCGCGGGCATGCTTGGTTGCAAAAATCAGGCTGTATCACGAAGCACCGCAGTTGGTTTATCGCATATTGCACTCATGCATGTTTATGTGACACGGATCAAGTGCCGTGTGCTACATGATGCTTTGGCTGTGTTCGTGGTTCGTCCAAATCTGCGGAGCACCGACTACCGTCATTCTGTGTGAGACATGCATGGAGAGGGTGCCTTGCAGGGTGAACAAGTTGACAAGAGTCAGACTACATCCTATGAGCTCAGGTTTGAGGACGCAACCTTAAGCGGGTTCGCTGGTCTTCTCACATGATATGCCTCCGCTGCTATTCAGGGGACATACTGGTAGGTTGGTACATTGTTCTGAGATCTCCACCGATGCAGGATGGCAAAGTCCGACTCGTCGTAATTTGCATGGTAAGAACATGCTGGAGATGATATCATCCGAGCAAGCGGATCACATGGTTCTGCCCAGCTCACACGGTTCGGCTGTGCACAGTTGGCAGAGTCACGTATTCTTGATGGGCTCTAGTTACTCTAGTCGCATCAAGAAGCATAGTTTCTGAAGACCAAGCATTTTGCAAATGGCATCAAATGGCTCGAATCAGAACGGGTAGGACCGTAGGATCTCGCAGAGGCAGCGATCGCATGCAGATGCACATCATCGCGGGCTTCGGCCAGTCCTGGCACGCAAACTCCACACACTTCCTGATACCCTACTCTACGACTTTAATGTTGGTAGGTTCATAGTCTCCCAGCTGTTGGGCTGATCGTCTCACTGGGCTCCTCTGCCGCTGGCTTTTGCAGAGTCACCATGAGGCGCTCATGTGGTCTCGCGATTCGACCCAGTCGCGTCACTGAAGCGTTTCTGTGCGAAGGCGTGGAGGCATAATGTGCGAGGGTATCGTGAAGAAAAGCGCCTTGGTTTCGCTTACCTCCTGTCAGTAGCTTCCGGCACAAAGCTGTATCAGTTCAAGCGGGCTTGATGGACAGAGTTGTGTGCTTTTGAAAATGTTCTCAGGTGAGCTCGTCCTTTGGAATGGTAGTCAGGCGTGCCAGGTGGAGAGCTGTGCAATCTGCCGCGAGGCCAGAACCCATTTCTGCCGACTTGTTGTGACATGCGGGATCAAAAGTTGTCAAGGGGCGCTTCAAAGTCATAGTTGGTCCGTGGCTGACTGCAGGCCTTTCAAGTCGGCGTGGACATTTGCAGAGTTCTGGATTGCACACACATCTTCCATGCCAAGTGCATTGACATGCACCTTGGCTGCTCCAGTGGTTCGGAGGGTGAGACACCCGTTGAATGCCCATGGCCACGTGCAAGAATCAGGTGGTTTGTGAAGGCATCCTCGTGCCCGCTGTGTAAGAATGACCTCAAGCTGTGTGGCAGGCAGGGGGCTAGTCAGTTGCTGTAATGGCAATTGTCTCCAAGCCAAGCACTGCTTCGCGTGTGCAGCAAATTGAAGTGGCCCGCGAACAGAAATCTGCTGTGAAGGAACAGTGCCTCTCAACGTTCTCTGGGCAGGTGGGTCATGTTGACAGATCTTCACATTCAGTGCTTGAGGTGGTGAGCAATGCCTTCCCGTCTGTCCACGGATCATTGTTGACTTTACACGCAGACGTGTGTCTTCATCAAAACTCTTTGCCAACATCACATCTTTTCGTGGCTTAGTGCGTTGGCCGGAACCATTCCCGCTCTCGCTCGGATGTCTGCATTGGTTTCGGGTCTGTGGCTCTGTCGTGAGCACGTGTCGTCAGTCATGAGAGTGTGTCTCTCTGTTTGCCTCAACTGTTTTACCTTGCTGTGTTTGGTAGCGTCTTTTGGGCGCTTGCGGATCGCAGTTTGAAGGTTTGGGTACAGAAGCGGCCAGATAAGCCGCACGGTCCTTTGTCCATGGAGACCATGCAAATAGAACTGCAGCAACCCCCTCGTTTCCCTTGTGGCGCAAAGATGCAGCCTCTGATGGAAGAGCAGGTCCTCGCAGACGTCGTCCAACATGTCCCTGGGCTCCGCGTCCCTGCGCTCGGGGCAGATTTTAGTTGGCCACTCCAACTCTGCCTCGAGCTCAGCTGCTCCCGGTATACCTGAAACGGCTATTACTCATTACTCGTCTCCTCATTATCAATCTTCTTCTCCCTATGATTGCTACAAGCATCATTGTCATTGTTGTTGCTCTCCTTGTTGTTGCTCGTTTTTTTTTAAATTGTTGTTGGTATGAAAGGAAAGGAGGAGGAAGAGCTGAGAGCTGAGGATCCGGCCTTGCTGCGGGCTTTGCACCCGGAGGGCCTGGGTCTCCTGCGGCGCAGCTCCCCGCCACCAACTCCGGACCGGCTTTCAAAGTGCTCTCCTGATCGGGGTTCAGGCCTTTAGGCCCTTAACTTTAGGCTTCCGGGCCGATCTAGAGTGTAAGGGCCGACATAGGGCTCAGGGCTTTACGTGGCAGCTTCTGAACTCTAAACCGAACTCTAACAACAAGAGGTGTTTTGAATTGGCCGCGCAGGACCGCCATGCTGGCAGCGCGCCTTCCTTGGCGATCACATCGGACAGGTGAGGATCGGCAAGCGGTAAACATTGCCGTCGCAGGAAACCGCCCATGTTTTTTCGTTAGGTCCATGGAGGTGATCTCCATCTCCCGCTCCGAGCGCTCCATTGCGTTGCTGTCGGAGAGCTCGTCAGGCTTAGCACAACTCTCGCATCTTTTGGTCATGGCATGCCTACTTAAGCTTTTCCCTCTTCTTTTGGCGGAGGCTTGCTGCCTGCCGTGCAAGAGGGCTCCGAAGAGACCAGGATGGCACTGGAAGGTGCAGACGAGTGCGTTGCTACCTTCTGTAGGCGGGGATCGAATTTCTGCCAGGATCCACGCCGCCATCGCCCCGCAATGCCGACTTTCGGCAAACCTCTCACGGGAGCTGAGGGAAGGGTTCATGGAAGGCAAACACTAAGAAACATGCTCAAAGCAACGCCCAGATCCGGCTGGCCCGCTAGGAGCCGGATGCTGCAGTTTCAGCTGCCAGAAGGGGGCTCCGCTGCCTCCACAGCGCGAGGGCCGTCCCTTGGCAGCAGCTTTTTGTCAGAGGGGCGTCGTGCGGTTTGGTCAGCTGCCGAGGCCTTCCTCGAGGCTCTCTGCAGGGGATCCGTCGCAGGAGGAGCTCACATCCATGATTGAGAAGAGTATGTACTTGTGTGTTGACTGCATCGTTTCAAGGAGGTTGGCGAGGAAGACCAGGAGGTGGGCGCCTGCCAGACGCTAGCAGTGACCTCAGATCAGGATCTGCTGCATTACGGGAGGCCCTTCAGAAGCCTACCTGGCTGGCCGACCCGCAGATGCTGGATGGGCGGCAGGCGCGACAAGTTGATCTTCTATTCTACTCATACCAAAGATGAACGACAACTCCTCTGAGATTTCGACTACATCGGACGAGTCACAGAGGGTCTGAGCCTGAGCATGTGGAAAGATCACCGTCTGATCCCGGGCGGAAGCTAAGGCAGGGGAGGCAGTGAGACCTCCCGTCTTTTCGCCCCAACGTCTGCAACAAAGGCGGCCTGACTTCACTGTGCTGCCTGAGATCTTCGAGTGAAATTTCCTCCTGTAAGGCTGGAGGTGCACCAGTTCATGTCGCCGCAGCAACCAGCTGCGGGCCACGCCTGGTCATTGACGTGGCTAGGATTGCGATTTCTCCATGCTGGCAGAGCCACTTGGGCGCAGGATCGGTGTCCTCCATGTTTTGCGCTAAGGCTGCCGGCATCCGTGTCGCAGTGCCGGCTGCAGGTCGAGGTGCCCTTGGAAGTAGAGCTGTCATGAATCCACAAACCGGAGCCAGTCCTGGTTTAAATGGACGGAAATACCAACAGTGCTACGCGGAGTGTTCCCAGTGCCGCGTACAAGACCGTAAGAGACCAACATGTCGCCAACGCCACGGGAAAGACTGTACTTGTCCTGATCCTGTGTTGAGGCGCCGAAAGAGCGCCTTTGTGTGCCTTGGTGGCACTTCTCGTGAGGACTGGCCTTTTTTCTGAGACTGCTAACAGCGGTGGACAAGCGATCGTCATGGAGCTACAAGCTTTCTGCGGCTTGATTTGAGGCCATTTCCAGCCCTCCAGTACCGTTCGCGCCATCGTTGCATCCATGGGTGGAGGTGTACTGCCTGCTGTCGCTGCTTGAAGCTTCGAGACTTTCTTGCTTGTGTGCTGGACTTTGTGGGCTTGGAGGCTCCTCGCTGTTGTGGATGTCGGACAGTGCAGCCACGCGGCAGCCTCAGGAAGCCATGAGAAAAGCCACAGGGCAGGCCGAGGGCAGACTTTTTCTTCCTGGACATCTGGCTCGATGGCAGGGCTCTGAAGCTGTGTCAAGCCGTAGCAAATTGCATCGGAGGAGAAGAAATCGCTTAGTAAAGCACAGCTTCAGCGGTGTCGTGCAGCTGCTAAGTAGAGTTTGGTTAGAGATGGTCGCATGAAGCTACAGATTGTCTGCGCCTCGCGCTGTACAGCATGGCGGCAGCTTCCTGGCGAAGTGTCTCAGCAGTTGATAGATTTTGACCTGGAGTCCGTGGAGGCACTGAGCAGTTGACTCCAGGCAGCATGAGGAGCGTGTGCTCTCATCCCACAGGCTTCAGCGTCCTGGCTGCAGAAAGCTGGGGAGTCGTGCAAGAGGATGTGTCTTGGGCAAGTTAGAACCAGAAGGAGGCAGCTGTTGGCTGATGGGCCCTCAAGTGACGGCCTGTTTTGTGAAGCGTCTTTCTGTCAAGAGCCAGTGAGGTAATTCAGTCTCGGTTCTTCCGAACCCATCCTCGTCTAGTAAGCCGAAGAGGGGGCAGTCATCGAAAGGAAGAGCCTCGGGGTTGCAAGCAGAAGGGCAGATGAGTGTGTCTGCGCAGTGATTCGCAAGATGCATGCTTAAATGCTTGCAATGCTTGTTGTGTGCGCAGGCAGACGGCAGCTCAGGTGCCGAAGCTGCACTCAATTGCTGGAACTCTTACTCGTACCACAGCATGGGATGTACTTCGATGTGCTGACTGTCGCATGCAGGACCCCTGGGGCCGGAACCACAGAATGAGCTCCTTGGCTCAGCAAGCGCAGTGCACGTCAAGCGTGCGGCTTTTTAGTCGCCATTGGGCCATGACGATTATGCACGCATGCCTGAGTGTGTGAGTGCTCCTTTCGCTGAACAGTGTTCCAGCCACCGCCAGCAATGCAACGAAAATGAGCAAGAAACCCCGCTTTTCTTGAGAACGAGCTTGAAGCCCATTGGCCACGGGCTCCGAACCTTGCCACACAACCCGAAGCCTCGCCCCAAACTCTCGTCTTGGTTAGTACCGAACCAAGACCCTTCGCAAGCAGGTTCCGCCACAAGTAAGACCCTGAACTCAACCGTACCTGAACCATCCTGACAGAAGCAGAGGCCGCAACTCCCAAATATCACAATGGGGAGCACCTTCTTTGCCAAACCCTACATGAGAGTTTCAGAAAATCATCGACCCGACTAAAGACCCCAATAACGTCACCAGAAAACAAAACCCTAAACCCTGAACTCTTAACGCTCTCAAAAAAACACAAGGGAGCTTTTTAACTCTAAACCCTCAAAACCTCGGCACCTCAGGTTCGAGTTGCCTCGGGGCTCCCTGGAGTCCCAGCGGTGGCGGAGCCGGAAGATAGCAGCGAAGCTTCAGGCAGGGCTTTGGGGTTGAGAGTTGTGGGTTTAGGGTTGTGGGTTTAGGGTTTCGGGTTTTGCATTTAGGGTTTAGGGTCCAGCTTCATTGATCATTATGATGCTTAGGCTAAGAATAAGAACCACATGCTCAATACTGCAGCGAGGCCATGCATGGAACCTACTTGGTAGCCAACTTGTAGCACTCTTTGGAGGCTTGGTTTCGGGAGGTCACTGCCAGTTGCTGTGTGGTGCAGGCCTTGCTGGGAAACTTTCAGAACCCGGCGCTGGTCTCGAAGATGCCCTGGGTCAGGAACCATCGTGTTGGGCACATGAATCCTGTAGTTCTTACAGCAGCTTGCTCGGTCTTGCTCTGATGGCTCTGCGCGTCTTGCGCGCCTCTGATGGCTCTGCGCGTCTTGCGCGCCTCTGAGGAGCCAGCACAAACAGTCCGAACACAAGAACCTTGCCTGCACCAGACTACTGCCGGCACGGTGGCATGCACTATGTGAAAGCCCGCCGCTGATACCACGACATCCCCTGTAGATGTTAGGTGGTTGTTGAGCCTTGGCTTCAGGATTCCAAGCTTCGTCATGTCCAAAGATGACCTGACGCAACTTTTGAAAGCAGATGCTGGCCAGCAGTCAGCCCGTGTTGGGCAGGTGATTCTCTGTCGGGTCTAGTGCCTGCAGTGCTGCCGGTGTTGTGTAGCCCTTGACAAGGACCCATCGATTCCCCATACTTAGTAGCACACTGGGACCCTCCCTCCTTAAGCTGTGAGGGCAATTGCTGCGTGACTGCTGCCAAGGAGGAGGCTGATCGTTTCCACATTGCCGAGCCACTTGCCAAAATGCTCACAGGGTCATTCCGATCTGCAAAGGAGACGCGCGTCTTGGTGCTAGACCTGTGAGAGACTGTCTCTCCAGGCGCCGTGCACGCCAACTTCGTGCAGCCGTAACAATCGATGCCGCTTGGCCGGCCTTTGAGGCGCTTGGGACTGGGTGAGGCTACTGAGCAAGCCGAGGATCAGGCAGCCGATGAGCTCCTTTCTCAGCTCTGCTACTAATTCAAGCACCTCTCATCCCTTGAGCCTCTATGCCATGTACTCACAGGCTGGACATGGAGCGACGCGGGGTCGATGCGGTGCAGATTACCAGCGACCTCAACCCAGCGAGCCTCGGACGAACAGACGCTGTAAGCTCTGGCGGACTCATTGCCTGCATATGCCACGTACTCGGAGTACTCGAACTACTCTTTGCTCCCCTGGAAAACCATGCTCTCTCGCAGGTTTGCTGATGGACTGGTCAGGTTTGGCGTCCTGAGGCCGGACTTCATCTTCCGAAGCCCAGCCTCAAAGAGCCTTCAACCCCTGGCAGGCACGAAGTGAAGGAGAAGGCCGAGGCCGGCAAAGGGAGAGGAGTGATCAGGCAGGCGAAGCATATGACAGGCCTGCTTAAGTCGTAAAGGACTGCTGCTGCTGCTGCTGCTACTACGACGACGACGACTACGCCTACGACTACGCCTACGACTACGACGACGACGACGACTACGACGACGACGACTACTACTGCTACTGCTGCTCCTGCCACTGCTACTGCCACTGCTACTACTCCTCCTATGCCCTATGCCCGCTCCTCGGCGGAAGTTGGCGCCGAGGAGCGCAGGGCCAAGGCCAACCGGTTGTTGTCTCGGGTGGCCGCGGAGGTACGGTGCCTTGGCCAGTTCGAGCTTCGAAGGCTGTTTCTGTTCAAGGTTCAGGGTTTGGGGGTTTACGACTCTGTGTGTTTGCCTTAAAAAGGAAGCAAGTTGAGAAACTCAGTCGAGTTCAATATCGGGCCCAGGCACGGACAATCGAAGAGAAGGCTGAAGCGAGGCAGATCGCGTGGCTTTGAGGAGAATTTTGAGGAAGTGGAAGTCCCAAAGGCCAGTTCTTCGCTTCCTCTCTCCTCCGACCGGCTTTATCCTGCATGCTGTTTCATCCCAAAGGCGCCAGCGCAGGTTGAGGATGCTGCTTGGCGCTTTCAAGCTGTTGCCCTTCCAAAAGCTTTCTTTGTGACAATGTGGTCGCATTGCTCGCATGAAATGGGTGTGGCCTTGAAGAAAGTGTTCCTAAGGAGCGAGACGTCATGCGCCGTCATAGACTCGAGCTTGAGAAGCCGATTGCCAAATTCGACAAGCGACTTTGCAGCACGCCTTTGTCTTCCACGAGCGAAGGCTTTCCACGTAGCTGCTGCGCTCTGCAAGGTGGGTAGACGGCCACCTTCGTCGCCAAGGCCTCGTGAGGCCAAAAACGGCGCCAGCAAGGAGCCGTGCCTCTTGCAGCAGCTCCTTTGCGTAGCCGCTCATTTCCTCCTGTGTCCGAAGAACGGACGAGGGCGGAAGAAGGCTTCCTACGCCTAAGTTTCTTGGGAGCCAGCTCTGCAAGGCTCGGGCTGGTGAAGATCACTCTGCCCCCCTTGGAGCGCAAGCATGGCGTATGCCCGCAAAAGAAAAGTTGCACTGCAGGGGTGGTGACCATGAAAGCCCTCACATCTGGAGCTGAGGACTTGAGTATGATGGCGCCATGAAGAGGACAGACCTGGCCGGAGCAAATAAACCGAGCACTTGGGAGCCAGGGGCTGAAGCGCTTCCACGGCAGACAGCTTTGGCTTAGCCGCAACTGATAGCATGTTGTGGACAGTGTGTCGCAGGAGCCTGTCGCAGTCAAAAGATCCAGATGCTCCAGGACGCCGTGGGAATCACGACAGGAGATGAGTAATGTGAGTTTTTTTCACATGTCGATGGGTTACTGCCGGTGTAAGTATGGAACTGACGTCCCAGTTGATGTCGATGTGAAGAAGGAAAATCCCCAGTCTGTAGAGGTATGTTCATGGGATGACAAATGCTTGAGGAACATTCCGTTTGCTGGTCGCCTTCGAACCCGAATGCCAGGTGCAGGCGGTGAGGAGCATCTGGTCGGTAGTGCCCGAACGGTGGTCACGTGCGCCTCATCATGGCTGAGCCTTTCAAGATCCCGTCACGATGAATTGAGTTTGAGTTACGGTGTTCAGTTGCCCTTATCATAGACATTCCCCGTTTTGTCCTCCAAACGAAGACACATTCTTCTATCACCATGTTTTGTTTCTGGTCACAAAAGTAATTACATTGCTCCATGCTTCTGCACAGCGAGAGGTACCAGACTCGACAAGCGATTGTGGCGGACCTCAGAGTGTGCCCACATGGCGGCGATATGAGGATGACGACTCTACTCCAAACCCTAGACCGCGGCATGGCAGTTCTAGAACATCCTAAACCTTAAACCCTCCAGGCTCAAGCCGCAGAGGCAGAGCTCATCTTTATTTGGTGCTGAGGCGCCGATCGCACCAACATCGGCCGCAGTGCTGCGGCCAAACCCTGCTTCGAGCTTGGAAGTGAAGGAGGCTTTGGCTTTACCGAGAAGTACCTTTGCCACTAGGAGGTTCACCTGTAGCGACCGACTTCCTGGGAGTCGTTGGAGCAGCACCAATCGCCGCTGCAGCAGCGGAGCCGCAGAAGCAGCAGTAGCAGCAACAGCAGAAGGAGAGCCAGTCCTGGCCGCAGTTGCCGCAGCAGCATCATTGGAGGGTTGGAGTAGGAATAGGAGAAGAAGCGGTGTAGGAGTAGTCGTAGTAGTCGTATTGGTCGTCGTCATAGTCGTCGTCGTCGTAGTCGCATTCGCAGTCGCAGTCGTAGTCGCAGTCGCAGTCGTAGTCGTAGTCGGCGTCGTATTCGTTGTCGTCGTCGTAGTAGTAGTCGTAGTTGTCGTCGTCGTAGCAGCAGTAGTAGTATAGTAGTAATAGTACTTTGTTGTTGTTGCTGCTGTTTTTGTTGCTGTTAAAGCATTAATACTAGTACATTGTGCGGGGACTTTAGAACAATTATTTTGTGGAACTATCTTGGTAATCTTGGCAATCTTGGTCAAACGCAAGATTGCCAGCAAACTTGGTCATCTTGCCCCACTTGCCCCACTTGCCTCACTTGTTTGTCGATTAGTTGACCAAGATTGACCAAGCTTGTGGCAATCTTAGGCAAGTGGGCCAGTGGGGCAAGCCGGGCAAGTGGGGCAAGATTGCTTGGCAAACTTGCTCAAATAATTGTGGTAGATGCCCGGCACACCCTACTACTACTACTACTACTACTGCTGCTGCTGCTACTACTACTACTACTACTAGTAGTAGTAGCAGTAGTAGTAGTAGTAGTAGTAGTAGTAGTAGTATCAGTAGTAGTAGTAGTAGTAGTTCTTGTCGTTGTTGTTGTTGTTGTAGTCGTCGTCGCCGTAGTCGTAGCAG